AGAGAGAGAGGGGAGAGGAAAGGGAAAGGAAAGAGAGAGAGAGAGAAAGAGGAAAGAGAGGGAGAGGAAAGAGGCATAAAATAATTCATTTACATTTAATTGTAATGGTTCAAAGAATGTTCGGAAAAATGTTCGGCCCTCCAGCACGTTCACTTCATCCAATCTGGCCCTCTTTGAAAAAAGTTTGGACACCCCTGGTCTAGATAGACTGTTTCCTCCAGGTGCTGAGGAAACTGCTGTGCAACCACACTCTCAACAACCTTCGCCACAAAGCGCAGGTTGGAGACCGGGCGATAATTTGCCAATACGTCTGGATCCAGGGAGGGCTTCTTAAGGAGGGGCCTCACCACCGCCTCCTTTAGGACCGCGGGGAAGGCACCCTCCCGTAAAGAAGCGTTTGTAATTCCCTGGAGCCAGGCTCGTGTACCCTCCCGAGCCGCCAGTACTAACCAGGAGGGACACGGATCCAATAAACATGTGGTTGCATTCAGTCTCCCCAGGATCCTGTCCACGTCCTCGGGAGCCACAGAGTCAAACTCACAGAGCCACATTCAATCATTTATTGATTGAATGACTTGCTAGCTGTATACTTCATTACATTCAACTAGAATCTCTCTCGATTCTAAACTACAGAATCGTAGGTGATGGATATATGCTTTAGAACTATAGCTGGGTGTTTATGGATTTCTGGTTGCTTGAACTGTGAACACAAGGACTGAATGATGTGACTTGAATGATACTGGAAAGCTTTCCATAATGTTGCTTAGTGTTGTAATTGCCAGTTTTTGCTCGTTTCTTCCACAGTCTCAATTTTTCCTCCTGGAATGTCTTCCTATATGGAGAACATGACATATACTCAGTGTGACATTTATGAATAATATAATATTCATCTAGTGGGTTATTGTGGTTTGAATCCTGGCTTTGCTAGTGTTCCTGACTTTTAGAGTACTTGTGGCATCACTGATAAGAAGCTTCTGCTGCTAGTTAGAAAGAAAGGAAAAAAAGCCCTGAACTTATTTTGTTTCATTATTATATAATTATATCTTCTCATATAATTATTATATAATTATATTCTCTGTATACCTCTATACTAAGACTTTTTGGTGTACCTTTAAATATTTATATTCAGTACAATTACCATAAAAAGTTGCCAGTCTTTTTAAACAAGCACACCACCATTCCTGAAATATTTCCCCTTTCATTCTTTGGTTGGTTTGCGTTGTTTCTCTTCCAAATTGCAAATCACACATTTCCAGATTTTGAAACCAGCAAAAATGACAGTTATTTTTCACATTTATTATATGAATTGTACCCAAAAATTTAAATCATAACTTTATTAATGTAAAGGAATGTGTATTCTGTGTTAGAACTAGTAATTTTTGCCTACATGCCGTGTGCAGGTTATCAGCCATGCGATCCCAAAATTATTCGTGATCGTGTAAACCTCCTGGAGCTATACTACCAAGAGCTGATTGCTTTAGCTGCAAAGAGGAAAGCTCGTCTTAAGCAATCCAAGCGCCAGTGGAAGTTCTTTTGGGAATTGGATGAAGCTGAAAGTTGGANTGGAGGCAGCAAAGAAGAAGCATGAAGCCATTGAAACTGACACAGCTGCCTATAAAGAACGGGTGCAGGCCATAGAGGAGGTGGCCAAAGAACTGGAGGTAGAGAATTACCATGACATCAAGCGCATCAATGCTCGCAAGGACAGTATCCTGCGACTATGGGAGTACCTCTTGGAACTGCTGCAAGCCCGGCGCCAGAGACTGGAGATGAATTTGACACTGCAACAGCTGTTTCAGGACATGCTGCATAGCATTGACTGGATAGATGAGATGAAAGTAAGGAGGGGCCTGGATAGGACTTGGTGGATCGCTGGAGATAAATTGGAAAATGGGGATGGAGGCTCAAGTGCTGCATTATAACAGTGATTTAAGTTATTGATACATGTAAGGAATCTTACCAGGCTACTTAAAGTCTGATAAAAAAAACACATTGAAAACAACACCTCAGACTGATACCAACCTCATCAGCATTGATTGTGCTAGCCATTTCCCTAAAAATATCTTACATTTTATAAGGTGTTTAGAAAGCTACTTTGAAATGCTTCTTGATTAAGGCACCTTATCAAAAAAGCACTCGCCAGCTACATGGTTACTTCTGAATTTGCTGTACTTTCTAAAGGTTATTCATAAGCACTATCGGGTAGAGTATATTTTAATAATTTGACAGTATATAACAGAATAACAGAGTTGGGAAGGACCTTGGAGGTCTTTTAGTCAAATCCCCTGCTCAAGCAGGAAACCCATTTCAGACAAATGGTTGTCCAATCTCTTCTTAAAAGCCTCCAGTGTTGGAGCACCTACAACTTCTGGAGGCAGGTTGTTCCACTGATTAATTGTTCTCACTGTCACGAAATTTCTCCTTAGTTCTAGGTTGGTTCTCTCCTTGATTAATTTCCATCCATTGCTTCTTGTCCTCCCTTCAGGTGCTTTGGAGAAGCACCCCTCTTCTTTGTGGCAGCCCCTTAGATATTGGAACATTACTATCATGTCACCTCTAGTCCTTCTTTTTATTAAACTAGACATAATGTCAGGGCCCACTTCAAAACCTCATCCTAAGAGAGCAGAACTCGTGGAAGCAGTTTCTTCCAAAAGGAACTTTTATTAGGAGAAGCTGATAGCAGGCATAATAGACAGGATCTGCCGGTTTCCCACTCAGATCAATAGATTAAAAGTGTCCCAAGCAAACCCCACCCCAAAGTTCATCCAATCAGTTTGAATGGGCCAATCCCCAGGTGTTAAGTCCGTTGTGGGAAAGAGCAGATAACGCCAGGCTGTCTCAGGGTTGCAGTGATGTTTTGTCGGCTTTTCACACCTTTCCTTCCAAAAGCGGAGATAAACCAGTTGCCGAAGGCGCATTCCTTTCTTCTCCCCCCCTTCTAGCTGACATCAAGGGGAAAGATAGTTTACAGAGGAAGTGTGCAGAAACAGCAAAGTGTTACAGTGTAGCAATAGAGGAAAACAGAGCAATAACCCGCAATGCTTTTCCCCTCTCCCCTCCAGGAGCATGGCAGAACCCAGAGGTGTAGAAAGAGTAGAGTTAGAATTAAGGGTAGAAAAGGGGCCCCTTAGAATATGGGTTCTGACACATACCCAATTCCTGTAACTGTTCTTCATATGTTTTAGCCTCCAATCCCATAATCATCTTTGTTTCTCTTCCCTGCACTCTTTCTACAATCTGAACATCTCTTTTATATCGTGGTGACCAAAACTGGATACAATATTCCAAGTGTGGTCTTACCAAGACCTTATAAAGTGGTATTAACACTTCACATGATCTTGATTTTATCCTCTGTTAATGCAGCCTAAGACTGTGTTGGCTTTTTTGGCAGCTGCAGCACACTGGTGGCTCATATTTAGATGACTGTCCATTAGGATTCGAGGATTCCTCTTGTAGTTACAGCTTTTGAGCCAAGCATTACCTATTCTATACCTGTGCATTTGGTTTTTCTTGCCTAAATGTAGAACCTTACTTTTCTCTACATTGAATTTCATTTTATTAGATAGTGCCCAGTGTTCAAGTCTGTCAAGATCCTTCAGTATCTGTAGTTGCATTAAGGATTACACGTTGAGTGCAGTTGGTCAGACAGTTACAAATCCATCTGGTGATGATGCTATCTATCCCACATTTTTCTGTCTTATCAAGTAGTAGGTTGTGGTCTTCTGTATCAAATGCCTTACTGAAATCCAATACCTTATATCCACAGCATTTTGATGGTCCACTAATTTTGTCACCTGGTCAAAGAATGCAATAAGATTTGTCTGATATGAACTGTTTTTGACAAACCCATGTTGGCTTCTGGTTATGACTTGTTATGATGTCAAGGTGATAAGTCTGTAGTTTCCAGGATCCTTTCTCTCCCCCCCCCTTTTTTTTTTTTGAAGATGGGAACTACATCCACCCTTTTCCAGTCATCTGGTTGTTCCTTAGGCTCCAGGATGTTTGAAAGATATGGTTCAGTGGTTATGAGATCATGTCTACCAATTGCTTCAGAACCTTGGGGTATAATCCCATGAGAGTACAATTTGGGAGTACAGTTTCCATTGTTTCAAGAGCCTCTGTTTCTCTATCCAAATTTGTCTTCCCAAGTGTCTTCTCCAATAGGATTCAGAATACCATGTTATAAGCCCCATAGGAAGAGACAAGTGTGTGCCCATAAAATAAATTTTCCCTAAATGATTTTTCTTAAACATGGACTGTTTCTGCTTTTTTGCCAAGATCATCCTAAACTGCTATTCCTAAAATAAAAAAAGGGGGGGGGGTCAAGCCTCCCCTCCATACTTAGTTGTTTAAAAGAAAGGGAGATACAGTTTCTTTTTATATTTTTTCAGGCAAAACTTTCATCTCCTGAAACTGGGAAGCATCTGTTGGAAGCAGAAGACTTGCTTCAGAAGCATAAGTTGATGGAGGCTGACATGGCTATTCGGGCAGAGAAGATTCATGCTGTCAATGCAGCTGCCCTTAAATTTGCCAATGGAGATGGTAAGTGTTCGCCAAATTGCTAAGAATGAGCATATCGCTGGTGTTTACATCTATATAAAAGAAGAAGGGATGAGGAGGAACAGCCTATATCTAGTCTCTGGGAAGTTTCTTTTCTTACTGGTTGTGTGAAGTGAATGCTTGTATACACTTGTCAATATTTTTATTGATTGAATGAATTGCTAGCTGTATACTTCATTACATTCAACTAGAATCTCTCTCGATTCTAAACTACAGAATCGTAGGTGATGGATATGTGCTTTAGAACTATAGCTGGGTGTTTATGGATTTTGGTTGCTTGAACTGTGAACACAAGGACTGAATGATGTAACTTGAATGATACTGGAAAGCTTTCCATAATGTTGCTTAGGGTTGTAATTGCCAGTTTTTGCTCGTTTCTTCCACAGTCTCAATTTTTCCTCCTTGAATGTCTTCCTATATGGAGAACATGACATATACTCAGTATGGCATTTATGAATAATATAGTATTAATCTAGTGGGTTATTGTGGTTTGAATGCTGGCTTTGCTAGTATTCCTGACTTTTAGAGTACTTGTGGCATCACTGATAAGAAGCTTCTGCTGCTAGTTAGAAAGAAAGGAAAAAGAAAGGAAAAAAAGCCCTGAACTTGTTTTGTTTCATTATTATATAATTATATCTTCTGATATAATTATTATATAATTATATTCTCTGTATACCTCTATATTAAGACTTTTTGGTGTACCTTTAAATATTTATATTCAGTACAATTACCATAAAAAGTTGCCAGTCTTTTTAAACAAGCACACCACCATTCCTGAAATATTTCCCCTTTCATTCTTTGGTTGGTTTGCGTTATTTCTCTTCCAAATTGCAAATCACACATTTCCAGATTTTGAAACCAGCAAAAATGACAGTTATTTTTCACATTTATTATATGAATTGTACCCAAAAATTTAAATCATAACTTTATTAATGTAAAGGAAAGTGTATTCTGTAAATCTTGATCATTAAAAACGGATGTACGGCACACGTCCAATAGTCGGTACGCTAGGGTTTTAATAAGCACTAGCACATTTGGAGGACCTCGATATGATGGTTCTCGACTAACGAAATCGACGTTTCTCCTTTCGAGCAGAATTCGTTAGGTTCGCGGTCACCTTCAAGAAAACCCTTAACCTACTTCGACTTTCAACCTTCAGGGAGAAAGAGCAGATCTATTCTTCCCTGGACTATGGAAAAGACCTCACCAGTATCCTCATTTTACAGAGGAAACATAAAGCTTTTGAAGATGAGCTACGTGGCTTAGGGGCTCACCTGAAGCAGACCATCAAGGAGGGAGAAAGCATGATTGCTGAGAAGCATTTTGGAGCATCAAAAATCTGCAGCAGGATTGAGGAAGTGAAAGCTCTCTGGGCCCAGTTGCAGGAATTGGCAGCTTTCCGCAAGAAGAACTTACATGATGCAGAAAGCTTTTTCCAATTCCAGGTAGATGCAGATGACTTGATGGCCTGGCTCCAAGATGCTAATCGGCTAGTATCCAGTGATGATGTGGGGCATGATGAATATTCCACTCAAGCCCTGGTTAAAAAGCACAGAGATCTCCTGGATGAGGTAGCAAACAATAAGAAAATTATGGACAACCTGAATAGGCAAGCACAGAGCTTTCCTGCTGAATTCCGGGATGTTCCAGGATTTGAGAACAGACTCAAGGCTATCCAGACCATGTATAATGAGGTGGTGTCTCTAGCAGATCTGCGCAGGCAGAAGCTACAGGATGCTTTGGATCTCTATACTATATTAAGCGAGACTGATGCATGTGAACTTTGGATGAGCGAAAAAGAGAAATGGCTGGAACATATGGAGATTCCTGATACCTTGGAAGATCTGGATGTTGTACAACATAGGTAAACAATATATATATATTTAATTGGGTTCTCTTTTATCTACTTTTAGGACATATGGAAAACAGATAAAGTTTTAAGTCATATTTACGCAGAAATATTGAAAATTTAAAACAGTTCACAAACTTTTAAGCAGTGTATGTGAGACACAAATATTTTACAGTGTGAGGCTACAACAATGTTTACCTGCCAAAAACAGACCTGAAAGGAGATAGGGGATTAGGACCATAAGCATTCAAAGTATAAATACCTGACTTGATTCCTTAAGCATAAACACAGACCTTCTTTCACAAAATTATAAATAGAATCCTAAATTCAAAAATAATTAAGTAGTGGTAAGAGATCTTCCCTAACTTTTTGGGTGTTCTGAATAGTGAATCAAGGTGAGCCGCAGTGAAACACAAGCTCTATATGTTGATTCAGCATCCCCAAGAACTACTGTAGTCTTTTTTGAAGATAACAGTCTTAGCTGTGGAATCCTGATATCGTGGTCCAACACAATTATATGCTATTGGATATATCAAAGAATCTTTTTTAGAAACAGATTAACTTATGGTTTTCCAGTTGTTGATATGTATAGATAAATATAATTTGCAGATGAAATTGAGAGAGATAACTTGTTTATTTATGAAAGAATGGTTAAATCAGTTAATTCAGGGCAGTTACAGATTATTTTGATGTTATTTCTACTTTATGTATTCTTAAATCCATATTGAGTAAATTATGAACTGTTATATTATCTGAGATGAAAGTAGTATGCATTTTGCAGTGGTAACCAGAATGACTAATGTGTTTATGTAGCAAAAATCACATAGAATTTTCATTTGCATTGTTTCCCAATGCTGATTTCTTGATAGGAAATGTACAATGAAATTAAAAGGATAACAGTGAAGAACTGATAAACATTCAGAAGCCTGAACAGTCCAAAGCAACTGGTTATTTTTACATATCCAGAAATTAAACTTGTTAAATGTACATATATCAGAACATATCTTTGCAGTCTAAGACATGAAAAAAAAAATTCAGGTGCTGCTTTTATGCTTAGATTCTCCTAAACACAATCTAGCTACTGTGCATAAGACATCATCATTGTTGTCATTGTCATTTTACATATAGGAACTCCTCATTTAATGATAATTGGGAGCTGAATTTCCATCACTAAGTGTCATGATTGTAAGTGCAACATCCCATGACTTCCCTGCTTAGCGATGGAAATTGCGTCCCTTCCAGTTGCTGTCATTAAGTGAATCACCATGGGTTGTTAAATAAGCACTTAGACATCATTTGCAATCTCCTGCTGGCTTCCCCATTGACTCTGCTTGTAGAAAACTGGCAAACAAAGTTGCAAATTACGATCACGTGATCACAGGACTCTGCAAGATCATAACTGCAAGCCGGTCACTAATCACTTGGATTGTGATCACGTGACCATGGGGATGCTGCAATAAATGTAAGTATAAAGACTGCTCATAAGTATCATTGTGACCGGCACCATTGTAAGTTTGAATGGTCATTGAACAAGTGGTTATTAAGTTAGGGATCACCTGTATATTATACATAACTGGGACCCTAGATGGCATTTCATACAAGCTTTTTATAGAGTGGGTTTGGTTTCATTCATTCATTCAAAGTGTTTTCTTGCAGATTTGATATTTTGGAACAAGAAATAAACAGCCTGGCTTCTCAGGTTGAAGGGGTCAATAGAGCTGCTAGTGCCCTAATAGAAAGTGGCCATCCACGAAGTGGGAAAGTGAGGCAGTGCCAAGAGCATCTGAATGCCAGGTAATAGATTCTCTTATTTTTGTCCAACTGTTCTTCATTGTTGTTTACCTATGGTTTCCAAATATTGCTATAAATATGGAAAGATAAAAAGTCAGTTTAGCTATGACTATAATTTGTCTTCATACTGCGCTAGGCAAACAAGATAGACTGAGGGAATGCCATTTGCTCATCCACCATCCAGTGATGGCCATTCCCTCTCCCCATTTCTCTTCTACCATATAATGCATTGCTTTCAAAGATGGATTTCTGGAAAAGAGAAGGAAAGGGAGCAGGTAAAATACGTATCTGTATGGTGAAACAAGATCTTCCTCTATGCTTATTTTGGGATAAATAACTATAGTTCAAAACATCATTGCTACTACCCTGAGATTATTTCCTCTCGTTCTGATTCTTCTCTTGCTTAGTCTTTGGAGCCACTCTCCCAGCTTAGGAGCCACAACCCCGAATGCTCCTGCCGCCTTTATTTTCCACATCCTCTCCAGTTCCTCCTTGAGGCCCTGGTGCTTCTCCAGTTTCAGTTACTCTTCTTCTTGATGTTGCTGTTACTTGGCACCACTATATCTATTGCTACCACTGTCTTCTGGTCCTTGTCTACTACCATGATATCTGGCTGATTGGCCAGTACTTGCCTGTTTGTCTGGATCTGGAAGTTCCATATGATTATAGCTTTCTTATTTTCCACAACTTTTAGTGGTATCTCCCATATAGTCTTAGGAGGGTCTAGTCCAGTGGTTCTAAACCTGTGGGTCGGGACCCCATTTGGGGTCGATCGACCATTTCATGGGGGTCGCCAAGCAAGGCTGTCCGCCATTTTTTTTGTCCACCATTTTTTTTGTCCGCCATTTTTTCCCCTTTTCCAGCGGGTGCCTTACCTCCCTTGAGCTGGGCCAGCTGGTGGTTGGCCTGCTCCATCTCTTGCCAGCTACCCCTCGGCCGGCGCAGGGGGCGGAACCACGCATGCACGGTGCTCCCGGGCAGGGAAAGTCCTCGACTTACGACCGGTTTAGTCCTCGACTTACGACCGGTTTAGTCCTCGACTTACGACCGGTTGGGGTCGCGGCATTAAAAAGGTTGAGAACCACTGGTCTAGTCAGTGGTGGCGAACCTATGGCACGGGTGCCAGAGGCGGCACTCAGAGCCCTCTCTGTGGGCACACGCGCCGTCGCCCCAGTCCTAGGCCCTCAGCTGGGTTTTATAAAACCTTTTCGCTTTAGGCCTCCACCGCCATGTGCAAAAAAAAAAAAAAAGGTTCAATCAGTCAATTTCAACTCGCGGGGGAAAAAAGTTGGAATTGATTGGTTGAACTTTTTAGTCCCACCCAGTCTGCCGTTACCACTGCAGCCATGCCCACCCAAGTGGCCACACCCAGCCAATGGGCCACACCCACCCGGCACTCGACGATGCATAAGTGGGTTTTGGGTTGCAGTTTGGGCACTCAGTCTCTAAAAGGTTCGCCATCACTGGTCTAGCCCATATTCTGTAGAGATTTTCCTGTACGCAATGCCAGTTACTTGACTGTGCCATACAGTGTATACAGTTTCTGCCAGCATCTTGAACCTTTCCACTATGTGTTGGATTGTCTCTGAGGCCTCTCTGCATAGTGTGCAGTTTAGGTCCTGTCTAGGCTATGGTAAACCCCCTATTTCTATGGATTTGGTACTTAGTGCTTGCTCTTCTGCTGCTATGATTAGTGTCTCAGTACTGTCCTTTCATCCAGCCTTTTCCATCCACTGGTAGGATTTCCTGATGTCTGCTGCCTCAGCTATCTGTCAGTGGCACATCTGCAAAGTCATGTCTTGACATGGTACTTCCTCTGTTTGATCTTCCTTCCATCTTTGGGTACCATCTTACTGATGGACTCCTGGATGCTCTGGGTTTCATCCATGATAGTGATTTTGACATTCATCAGACCCTAATCTCCCTCTTTTCAATTGTCGACAGTCTCTGAATATTGGACTTGGGGAGGAAACCTCCCTACATTGTAAGGAGCTTCCAGGTCTTCATATTACTGTAGCAGCTTTCAGGTCCTTCTTTGGCCAGCTCACTATACAGATAAGATATCTGAAG